GGAGAATGCCTCCAAGTATCTGTCGTCAAAGTTTCAGCTCGATCGGATAGTTTTTTTTTGCCTTGAACAGAGGTTTCCTTCTTTTAGATACTGTATCTATGGTAAAAATTTCATGCAGATCCGTGGCATTCTCTTCGAGAATCAGAAATAGGCAGCAAACACGTGAGTATTCTTAACGAGAATAGTTTTTTTTTTGAATATTGAAGATCTTGTTACTGTATCTATCCTAAGATACAATTATGATAATAGTATGTATTTTCTATCGCTGTTATATTGAATAAAAAATTAACACTTTAAATAAACTGGAGTCTTGAGATTTATTTGATCTTATTTTTCTAATATATTGGTATTGAATGAAATTAGTCAATCACTTATTACCTTATCAGTTCCTTCAACAATTGGTCGATCTTTTTTCTCAAGTTCATTTCCACCCGGTGGTGCACTTGTTGCAGTTGTATCATTCACTTCTTTTTTAATATCTACTGTTGATATAGTTGATGACGATGATGATGGTGCTAGTAAAGATTCACTGTTCTTTGTTGTTAATATATCATTAGATATTAATATAGGACTTATAGATCTTAAGTCATTATTTGATGATAATGTTTTAAGTAATTGTATATTATCTGTTTCAATATTATTTATAATATGATCATCATCAGCTAATGTTGATGTTGATATAATACTTTCATCATCACGTATATCATTATTTTGTTCTTTTATTAATAATTCCGATAGTTTATCATTGGAATCAATGGCTAATGGTGGCGATGGCAAACTTGGAGGATGATCAAGTAATGTTGAACATAAACGATAACGTTTTTCAAGCATTGATAATGAATTTGAAGCTAAAGTTTTCAAAGAAAACCTTACTCGTATTTTGTTTTTAATTAAAAATAAAAACTTACAAAGTGTTGAAGATATTGATTTTATAGGTGGTTTTCGATATGGTCGATAATGATCAAGAATATTTTCAATAAAAACATTACCAAATTCACCTTGATATTGATATTTTTTATCAGATAAGTCAAATGGTAAAGATAATGATAAGTCATTATTAATATCAATAGATGGTTCAAGTGGTGTTAACATAGGTAAATCACGTAATTGTTGTAATGAATGTTCAACAAATTTTTCTGTTTCTTCTGTACCTTTTTCTAAATACGAAAAAATTTTATTTTGTTGTATTCAAAAAAGCTATTAGCGCGCAATCATTGTTAGATTAAAATGTCAAACACAATGTACGTGCTATTGCTAATCACAGAGAGATTATTTTATCTATTTTGCGATATATTTCTTCAGCATCTTTTTACTTAATCCTTCAGAAATGCAATAAGAAAGTAGTTTAGAAAGACGTGATTGATATACAGTCTTTGATCGTATATCAACAACGTTTACGATGGAGAGCAGAGACTTTGCTAAAGTGTATGTGGTGATGTTTGACTAGCGTCTGCAGGGTGTGGTCGTCTCTAACTACCGGCTGTGATAATCTCTGGCTAGTGGCTGCTGCAATCGACAATGAACTCTGGCTTCTAGCTGACGTCTGTAATGATCCCTAGTTAGTGTCTATCACGATCTATGACGGCTTATGACTAGTGTTTATTAGGATTTGTGATGATCCCTAGCTGGTATTTGTGATGGCCTCTGATTAGCATCTATCATGATAGACGAAGAGCCCAGATTTTTTATTGCTATTCTTCAACATTCGTTTTAGGTTGTGTTTCACAAAAAAAAATGAAATTCTATTGAACATACTTTTACGTTTTCGTGCTTTTGTTGGTACATCATCTTCAAATGATGTACTTAAATCATTAGGTTTACGTTTTTTACGTGATTTTGGAATTTTAACGTTTGGTAATGTTGATCCTGTTGGATTTGGATGTGATTGAGTATTAAGAGGTGGATTGTATAAATGATGATGACTATTTGAATAATTATGTGTTGAATTATCATGAATATTCATTTGAGAATTGTCATATGGATCATTACTATCAGTCGATATACCATTTGACATAATATTATTAGTTCGTGCTTTTATTGCAACAGTAGCAGCAATTTCTTCAGAATTCTATATGATGAGCAAAAAACAAAGACAATAACGACAAATAAAAATAATAATTGAAAAACTTACAGCTTGTGGGTTTATCTGTAATAAAGATTTAAGAATATTATCATCCGTAGTAAGCATACCAGATGGTAAATGAAGAACTTGTTGTGATATGGATTGTTGATGTTGATGTTTTTGTTGATTAATAAGACTATCATTCATATGTGGATTTGTTTGAAGGGAATTTATCGGTTGTTGTACTTGTGGTAGTACTTGTTGTTGTCCAGCTGTTCGATAGAGAGTATTAGGATCATAAATAATTGATGCTTGTTGTTGCATAGTTGTCGGTTGCATAATTAATTGAGGAGGTGGTGGCGGTGGCGGTGGTGGTTGCGGTGGCGGTACTCCACGTGATCCAAATGCATTTGGTGGTATCATTCGTGGTTTCATCATTTGATAAGCATGTTGTTGTTGTGTTTGTATCATTGGTGGATAACGTAAAACAACAGTAGATGGACCAGGTGGTGTTCCATTTGTTGGCATGCCAGGTCTTATTGGCTGTGGTTGTTGTTGTTGTAGTGGTGGTGGTGGTAATTGTTGTTTAACTTTCCCAATGCCAGTAACAGTTGTTACTGGTGATGAAAGCATTTGACGAGTATTAACATAAATACCAGTTGGTGTATGATGAGTTGAAGATGAAAGTGGATGATGTGATCCATGTGACGAAACGTTATGATGATTATCTGATTTATTTTGTACATTTGTTTGTTGTGGAGATATAAAATTATTATTTGTGCCTGTTACTTGAGAAGATGATTGATGAATAGGAAAACTACCGAGTATAGTTGGTGTTATGGATGCTTGATTCATATGATGCATATTAACACCTAAATTATTTGGTAATGGTGACGGTAATGGAATTAATGATGTAACTGAAGGTGAATTTGATGGTGGTGGTGATGGTTCATTTGTACCTGGTTGTGATGTTTGTCTTGTCATTGGAACATTAATACCATAATTATTTAATAAATCTTGATTAAATCGAACATGATGTTGAACTAATTGAGTTTGTTGTGGAACAATATTACGAGCGGTTGAAATATTTGTTAATGCACCATTATTTGATGTTTGTGTGGAAGGTGGTGGACGCGTTTGTTGAGAAGGATGACGTTGTAAATTTGTTGACATTGATGGTGATGGCATTGATACATCATCAGGTGTTTGATGTGGTGTACCAGGTGTTGGTGTTCGAGATATTGTACGTGGTGACTGTACATTACCTATGTTATGTTGTTTTGAAGGTGACGGAGAATGAAGAAGATATTTTGTCGCACCTGATGGATCATTAGACGGCTTAAAGGAAAATTATTTTTTAATCGAAATTTTTTTTAAAACAAACGGATCAAAATCTTTTCCGCCTTTTCGAGTACTTTGCAATGCAATAAATACTTCGTTTTAGAATTATTCAATAGAGAATTTCCTGGTTTTTATTTTTTAAATAGATTTTTCTTTGGCAGTGCAAGATAAACAAAATGAGTGCCCAGTCAATCGTCTAACTGCGATGGTGAAAACAGGAAAAATATTTCATAAAGATTTCGAAAAACTCTTTTTCTAGCAGAATCACATCAATATATTTTTTTTCTAATGTTTCTATTCTTTAATTTAACAATCATACTATTCTGTTCAGAATAAAATTCTATATCTGACTGCATGAGAACAAACGCGTTACAGACGAAATCTTGCTTTGAAAAAGATAATTTTCCAAAACACGTCTCAAAACGCTACTAAAAGTTGATTCAAAGCCTTTTTATTTTGAATAACCACAACAGAAAACTTGAAAACGTCGTGGAATGGAGTCTATCAGGTTGCACCCAGACCTGATTGACTCTATCGTCGAAGCAGAGGGTACAAAATTCTCTATCGATTGATACCAAATACTACACTTTTAGCATCAGTTCTGGCATAAACCGATAAGTATCTGCAGACAATTAGAAGTCACAGTTAGACACATGAGTAGATGCTCATTCACTTAATCTTGCACAGACAAAGAAAAAGTTATTTGAAAAACAAAGACAGTCGAGTTATAGAGCAGGAAAATTCTTTATCGAATGAGTTTAAAAAGAGGTCTTTAATATGCTGAAAAGTGCTCTAAAAAGAGGAAAAAAACATTTCGATCCGTTATTTCATACATCTTCAATATGTCGTATAGAATCTTCAAATGGATTTTGAACGACGATTGTCCTTAAAAAAAAAAGGAACCAATTATTAGCCAAAAATAAAAACATGTTTAGTTTCATACATAGATTTCGATGCATTATTTGAATTATCAAGACTTGCTGTTCGTATCATCGATGAATGATAATGTCTTACATCAGTTGGAGTACGTGGTGTATTGACGTTCGTTGTATTTGTTGTAACTGAACGCATATGTTGTGTTGTTCCATCTGTTGTATAAATATTATCTGTTATAATATCAAGTTTAGTTGGTGGTGTTGCTGATACTGATTCGTTCATTATCGATCAACATTCGATAAATCTATTTTTTCAACATATACATATATAAATACTGTTCTTGCTGATATCAGCAGAAGATATACATCTAAAATATATATGTATAAGATAAAAGACAAAAGACAAAACAAAAACAAAAAAAACATGATTTTATCTACAAGTTCTTTATCAAACAACATAAAACAATCTGCTTTTTTTCAAATATAATCCCTGGAAGGTTGAAGTTTTCGATGGCTAATATAACCGGAAGACAAAAAGAAACAAAACAAAAAATCGAAATCTACTGTTTATACTTGTTCACAACCGGATGTTGCTTGCATTGGCTCAATATATGAGAAGCAAAAAAGAAAAAAAAAACAAATTGAATCAAAAAAAAAATGCAATGAACAGCACCATACGAGGAGAAAAAAATGAAAAACCGGAAGATGGAAAAAACAACAAATCACATTACAGATGATGATGCACCATTAGATAATATTGATGAAATAAGTTCAGCTACAACAGTACGTCCTGATTCTTGAGATGTTGAAGGAAAATAATCATATTGTTGTGTTGATAAATTTTCTTGATTTAATTGAATGTATGATGAATCACAAATAACATTATGTTGTTCATTACATGATAAACGTGATTGATAACGATGACGTGTTGTACTTTCAGATTCAAGAGGTATATCACCATGACCAGATATAACATTTAAAATAACTTCATCAATTTTTTCAAGAATATCAGTTGGTACATCTAAATAAACAATCGATTTTTTTCAAATAAATAAATCAATACATATATATGTGTATTTACTTTGTAATATATCGTTACGTGTTGAAGATTTTTTGCTATTTGTTGTTATATTATTTTCTGAAAATGATGTATCAATATTTGAATTTGTTCTATGTCCATTTTTTGTTGATGATAATAAAGCAAAACATGATGTTGATCTCATTGGAGATGGTTGAGAAGGATATTGTTGTAAAAAATCTGAACCTAAAGAAAAACAAAATAATAACAATAATATAAAATAAATTAGTTACAAGGAAGTATTTTATGTTGATATTTATTAGTTTTTGTTATAAATAAAATAGAAGAATTTTTACCGAATGATGATTGAGATGAAACATGAAGATCGAGTGATGGTAACTAAATTTTTAATTATTTAATATTTATTCATCAAACAAGGAACAAACAAAACTTGCTTACTGAATGTGGTTGAATATTATTTATTGGATATTGCATCTGTGTCATACATTGTTGTTTATCAATAATCATTGATTTTTGTAAATTATCATTTTGAATTTGTTGTTGATATGCTTGAAATAAATGATATGATTCATCGATACCAAATGGTAATTGATTACGTTTAATATTAAGATTTGAACGATTAAAATCAGGTGATTGAACTGAATTATAAATTTAGACAAAAAAAGAAAAATCGAATAAAACTTTATTTAAATTACCTGCTGATAATGATCGTCCATCAGGACACGAATAATTTCCATTGATTAATAATGATTGATTTAAATGTGGTGGGGTTGGCAACCATGATATTGGACTAAATACCGAATTTTTTTAAAATTAAAATCAAAAGAATTTCAATGAATTACTCATGACGAAGAACATGTTTATTTGTTTGAGAAAGTAGTGGATTTTGTAATGGTCCAACTGTTGATTCTTCTAATTCACGAGCCATATTACGAATAATTTGATTTGGATTATTTGTTTGATAAATACTATTATTTGACCAATCCATAACTTTAAAGAAATCAAAATAATAATTATTTCGTGAAACACAATCTAAAAGGAGCGTTGAGTTTTATATCTAAGGTGCTTCTTTTTTTTCAACTCACATTTTACACTGTATAAAGTTAGTACGGTTCAGAAAAAACTCCCTATCTTGCATCAGAAAACGTGCATTTGAAGAAACACGTCAACGTTTGTCTTTCTTTTACGGATAAAAATAGAATAGTATCGAAGCTACAACATGCACAAAAAAGGAATTTCATTGAGGATTTACTCAGTTAGTTGAAAATATGTCATAGACAAAGAAAACTTTCAGCAACTTGTAGTTTATCTAAGTTGGATTCTCCGTACAGTTTTTCACTTATGAAAAAAAAGTACTACTTCAAGTCGCTTCTAATGTAGAAGTTAATCATGCGAAATTCAACACTTCCTAAAGAACGATTTCTAAATTTGCTTCACTGCGAAAATACTAGTACTTGTCTTTGAAGGCAGAGAAAAATTTTGATGCACTACTCTAGTCTATCAATCTGATGAGACAACGCCGCCTACGGTTAGAGATTATCACTGAGGGTAATAGACGCTATACTCCAAAAAAAAAAACTGTCATACCAAACCTTTTAAAGTTCGACAGAGGCTGTGAAACTCACAACTGTTCTTCATGTGGATACATTATGGAAACTTTTTTGAGATCCTTAGGACGAAAAAATGATTCAGTATCCAAAATGCGAAACCATTTAAGTTCGACACGAACTTTAATGGTATTAACGAGAAACAAATAAGGTTTCATATTTCGGATATCGAACTCTTTTTCATCCTACGAATCTCAAAAAGGTTCCGATAGTGTATCCACGTGACGAACTATTTCCTTATTGCACTTCTGAAGGATTAAGTAAATGAAGGGTGAAGAAGTATGTTCCAAAATAGATACAATAAAACAATGCTTTTTATAATAAGTAACAGCATCTACATTATGTTTGACATATTAATTCCGTAGGGACTGTTCTAACAGCTTTTTAAATTATTAAATTACCAGAAGGATGATCATTTTGATTTGGTTGATCAACAAATTCAATAAATTCCCAAATATCTCCAGATGAATTACCTATCAATAAATAAAAAACTTAAAAAAAAACGAAAAGAATGAACATTATTTTTTTACATGGTGGATTCGGAGCTGGATTAAGAATATAATCAACTAAATCTGTAAATTCTTCATTACCAAAAATAGGTTCTATAAATAAAAAATGAAATTGATCAATAGCAAAAAAAGAATTCTTTTTATCATACGCATTTCATTTTCATCATCATTTGATAATGATAATGATGATTTTTTCTTTGTTGTCAAATATTTAATTGTATCTGGATCAAGTTGAATTGAATATTCATTATTTAAATATTTTAAATTTATTGTTGATTGATCATTATATATTAAATCATCATCTAATGGATTTTTTGCTTGATTTTGATTTGCCAGATCCATACCAAAAAATGCTTCCTTAATCAAATTAAAATTAAATCAAATATAAAAATAAAGTTAATTTATTTACCTGCATCTCTGGTGGCATATGTTCTTCGAGAATTGTTTTTCTTAAACGTTTATTTTTTGTACGTAATAATTCGCTATCCATATGAAGTAAATCTTGACGACGACGATTACCACGAATTTTTACAATAAATCCTCCAATACCTAATACAAGAAATGATCATCATAGGAAAATCTATATAAAATAGTTTTTATTACACATGGGATCAGTTCGGTTTAAACGGATGAACCGTAATTAAGTAGCTTACATGAAAATGTAATTTTCCCTGTTATTTACTATTCAAATAAAATATTTATCCATATAATAAAAAACTATAAACTTCATTTTTATTGTTCATACTTGGCAAAAGCATGCCGTATTATGAAAATAGATCGCTAAAGCAAAGAACTTTGCCCTCTATTTCGCTGATACAGTTTTGGACATTCGAGTTTTAAGTTAAGACACAAGAAAAGGATTAAAATTGAGATGAATACATGAAAAACATGATTTTTTTTATTTTGCATCTCGTACTTTTTTCGAAAACTTTTGCGGTTAATTCCTGCATGAAAAATATGCTGTTTTGATCGAACAACACAGAATTCTCTGCAGGCTTTCATTCTATATATTTAACCTTTATTTTATTTCAAAGGGCATGACAGACCTCTTTTTTAAATTAAGCTTTTTTAGTATTAAATAGCAATACTTTTAGAGCTAGAACGTCTGTTTTTGAGACATTGAACTTTTTCCTGCTTAGAAAATAAGAATTCAAAGATAGATACTCTGTCATGTCCTGAATTTTGACATGCTTGTTCAAACAAAAAAATTCAGTATATAGAATGTGAAAACTCACAGGGAATTTTATCCTGTCAAATGAACCATTTTTGACCCTTGCTTGTTGAATATCTCATAACAATATTACGGTATAAGGCTAAAATTTATAAAATTACATGGCTGATGAATCGTAATGCAAAATGTTGTTATTGTCAAAACTCACAAAAAACTGAGCAAGATCCAAAATAAAAGAAAAAATTTTAGTGCCACCGTAGGGATATTCAGTATATTTCAGTTTCTTCGAAATTGACAAAAAAGCTTTTTTAAGTGAAATAAATAGTTTTTTAGAGCTTGAAACTCTTCAAATTTGTATATTGAGACAACCTTAAATTATTTTTTTTCTCAACATGCGTCATGAAATTCTCTAATACTTTAACATGAAAGGATCCTTTTAATCATGCTGATCAAGTTTTTAAATGATAAAAGATAAAGATGTTCGTAACGTCCATTCTGTCGATTATAATAGTAGGGAAAAGCTTCAAAACTCTCAAATACTATACCTTAAGATTGTTTGCTTTCTAATGCATCGGCATTAAATTCATTAGATTATTTTATATGGGATTACGTAAAAAAAATACCCCTTTCCTCAAAGACTTCATGCAGTTAAACAACATAATAAACATTATATTTTCCCTCAACATTCATCATTTTTATATGAGTTTTTTTGAACTTGTTTATACAGTATAAAATGCGAAAATTTGTTTGACATAAATAGAAGACTTTTGTTTTTATTTTTGTTTCTCACAAGATAATGAGACATTTTGACCATCATACAATGTTTCAGTTTTAACCTTATAAAGAAAATTATCAAAACAATTCAACTGGATTTCTCATAACCATTCTTGGCATGACTTTGGCAGTGCATCTTTTAAAAACAAAATTCAGCGTTATAGAATTTGTCTATGTTGAGATATTTGCAAAATATCCGACGTTCAAATCATTTCGACTAACTCCACTTTGCTTAAGCTTATAAAACAATGAAAACTAATGAAGTAGTGCCTTGTTTATCAGTACTTTCTTCTGCAGTGTCTGGAGAATGGATGATCAGAAAATTTTGAAATTCATGGAATTACAATAACTTCCATTTCTCGGTAATGCTATGTTCTATCAAACTGTTCTATTGTCCTTCGAATAAAAAAAAAAGTCAAAATATCGAAGGTCTCCTAAAAAGACTCCTGTTTACTCTTTGTAAGGACTTGCAGAATAATATATTTTGAAACAAAACTATCCTTTCCAAACAGTGAGTCGTACATGGGGAAAAAAATGTCAGCTCGATCTGACATACTATGCCGAAGGGACTGGAGTGTTTTTGAACTTCATTTTCATGGGAAAATTGGATTAAATCTACCACTTTCGTTGATTTGATTTTTTCTCTAATTTTTTTAAGACAATTTTTGGATCACAAATTGTGCTCTTCTAATTATAAACAATGGCTACAAACAAAAACAAAACGTAGTACGGTATGCATTTTTCGCATGACAGACGAACATGTGACTTTCTTGCTCACAAATGTTTAGATATGATGGAAAAAAGTACTTTTAAGAAAAAATTTTTTCGACAAAAAATGCCTGAGAAGAATTTTTGTTCTCATTTTATCTTCGAAATTCTTATGTTATATAACATTCGGCACAGTTTAATTCGCTGATTCGAAATATATTATGTTTCTCGATTAAATATTTTTCCGAACCCTGAAAAACCTAGATTTTTTTTTTAAACCTACTGTGCAGTCTAGAAATGTTTGCACTAACAGGGATCCCAAGACAATAGATATAAGAACATTTTGAAGATTGGATTGTTCATTTTACCCGACTAGCCGTTCAGATGACACTATGGGAAAAAATGTTGTTCTAAGAAATTAAATGTGCAACTTAAAAACTATTTTTTCCCATTGTATAGAGCTCAGCTTTCGAAGTATATTTTCCTACCAGGATTTTTAATGATCGCCTAGATGCACATTGTACTTAGAGATATACTCTTCAGACACTGTTTCCAACGATCGTTTTGGGATCTTACACCGATTGAAAAACTGCATTTACATATACTCCGATTCATTATTATATTTAACGCAAAAAAAAAAACAACTGAAAGTAAATTTTTCATTCGAGATATGCGCGATTTTTTCGTATAATTTGGAAGAAAAAAATGTATTTACAAATGATTATCTTTTGTCATATCTATTTAACTCATAAGATATAAAAGATAAGGTTATGTTGATATAAAATTTGTACCTGTATATTTTTTAATTGAAGATTTTTTAATTTGTTGTTCATTATTTAAATGAATTTTTTCTTCATCAGATCTTTCATCATCATTAATTAATGTTGAATTAGTACGTTTAAATAAATTTTGATTTTTTTGTATTAATTGTTTTGATTTTCTTGTTGGATGATTCGTTAAAATTTTTGGTCGAATAGATTTTAAATGTGCAAGACCATGATCAGTTAAATAAACACCTTCATCATATTTAACAGATTTTGTTTGTAAAATTTGTTGATCATCTATTGATGAATAACGCATTAATGTTAATGTTGATTGATCAGATTTACATAAAAGACATAAAAATGTTTGTTCATGACAATGCTTTTCAGCCATATCTTCTGTAAATATGTTTGCACACATACTATGACACCAACGATTACAATTTTTACATTGTATTATTAATTCATCTAAATTATATTTACGTAAACATAATGGACATGTTTCTAATGAATAACATTGACCACATTGAGTATAATTATTTTCCCATTGACAATCAATACCTGGTGTTGTTGAACCACATTTTAAACAACGAACACACCTATAAATTCTTTTTGATCATTTTAGAAGAAAAAAAACTTTTCTTTTTTCTTACCATTGACATTTCCAATTTCCTTTTGGTACATGATCAAGTGGTGGTGTTAGACAATATGTATGATAGGATATATCACAATCATCACATAATAAAAGTTTTGCTTCATCTGTTGTTTTACCACAACATTCACATACAGTACAATCAAGACAACGCCAACCTTTATCAAAAAGTACTTTTGATAACTAAATAAAAATAAAAAGAATTTGTTTGAATTAAATTTAAAAAGAAAAAAAAACTGAACGAACCATTTTTGTAAATCCAACACAATATGGATGATAACTTTGTCCACATTGTGAACATGATATAAGTCGACCTTCTTCATTTAAACCAATACTTCCACAACTAACACACATATCCTATTAATATAAATAAATAAATAAATAAATAAATAACACAAAATTTTAAAAATAATTTTTATACTTGAGAAACACCATAAACTTCATTCGAAGAACACAAAACAGTAACTGAATGATGTTCTTCATCTTCTTTTATTGGTCCTTGTTGAGTAGATGGATTCTCCTGAAGAAGAAAATGATATTCAAATAGAGAATTTATTTTTAATATAACTTTTGTATGAACCGGACTTTTTCTGAGTCATAGTGATATTGGAGATATAACAATTTCAATTAGTCAACTTTTTGTTGGATGATCTTTTATAAACTGACGAGAAAACGTCTCGTAATTGAATAAATACTTTTGACTCGAAGTTATGTGTGTCCCAATGAGTTTTGAACATAATGAAAAGAGTTCGGGTTCTTATTTTATTGCTGCGGAGATACTGGAAATTTACGGACGGTAGCTTTTTAATAAATGTCGTGGGTCTGAAAAACTGGTTTTCGCATTTCGATTTAAAACTTTGTACAGGGACATATCTTAACGAGAGTAATTTCAGGTCTTTTGATTTTCTTCTTGCTTGAAATAAAAAAATAAAATCTACTATTAAATATGAGCAATGTAAAAGACACACTTTTATCATAATGATATCCTAAAATAGGAACAACGAAAAAACTTGAACCTCTTCTCATTAAGGTTGACTCAAGAGCGATTTATCAGTTGCTGAACTTCACTTGCGAACTATTTTTGTTTCAGAGTTGTTCTAACAAAAATCTACTCATTTAAATAGGAAGAGTAGAACACGAACTACATTTTAGTAACGAACCTCTCATACGATAAATAATACGCAATGTTCAAGTAAAGTGATTAACGTTTTTCTGTCGAAATCTCGTATTCGAAAGAGTGTCGAATGCTCCAAACCTTTCAGAAAGTGGCCCTTGAAAAATTGAAAACATCTTTCGAAAGAAAAACGATAAAAAATTTGCATAAATATTATGTATTATTTATCGAAAAATAGGCTCGTTATTTTTTTTAAGGGCAACTCTAGAAAAAAAAACTCGTATCCAAGTGTTTGATTGTTTTTTGATTGAAATTGCACTTAGTTGATAGTGTCAAATTCTAAGATGATTCAGTTGTGTGAATCTTTATTCTTGAAATATCAATTTTCGATTTTTCTTTTTAACTTTCAGATATCAATAATGAAAACTTCTCATAAAAAACATGAGATCATTCTTCGTATACTTTTATCTTCAAATATGAAATACTACAATCAATGAAAATTCAGAGAACCACAGGTTTAGATTAGATATCTCGAGAACAAAAGTTTAGATAACCGAACAATCTTAAGCTTTGACACTAACATCTAAGTATTATCTCGATGAAAAAGAATCATCAAACACTTGCGGTTATTCTCTCGTCAGTTTAAAAGATTGTTCAAAACAAATATTGAATAATCCAAATCGTTATACGTCCATATAGATACTGACTACACTATTGGCGCAAACCGTCCGTCAAACGGCAGCTTTACATGAGTTATAATAAAAAAAAAACGATTTGTTCGAAAAAATTTTCTTCAGTATTATAAATCAAAACTTACATTAACTGTTGTAGGTGTGTTATAATCATCTTTGCGTACTTTAATTGGTCTCCCACGTGAACTTGATAAAGTTCTATGATATTGCATAGGTTGTAGATTATCTGAATTTGATGTATATGATTGTGGACTAATCGATTGTGGTGGTGTAGGAGAATCAGAAGTTAATCGATGACGACGACGAACTGTCTAAAGAAAAGTTTTGTTTTATTTTGAAAAGTTACTCTTTATTTTCGTCATACTCGTCGAACACGTTTTCGATTTGTTATATCTGAATTAATATAAGCTTGTGCTGGTTTTCCTTTTCCATATTTACTATTCATACGTCCACCTCGAGTTGATGTTATCACCGGTTTGCTTAAACTAGGTGTCTAAAAAATGAAAAGAAAACCTATCAATTTAATGTTTAATATTTAATCATACTTCTGGTTCAATACATGGTGAAAATGTATTTTTATCACAAAATAAATCATTAACATCTGTCAAACAACTATTGCAATTGATTTCAGAATCAACTGTGCAAAAATGAATATTTTTTGTTATGATTAATTAACGCAAAAGAAAAGCAAAACTTATTTCTTACAAATAATCGGTACAAAATCTGATTGATCATCGGATAATTTTCTATTTGATGAATTGAAGAAATCTTGTGACGAAGACTCATCAGTAAATCTAAGAAATTGAATTTTGTTTCTTTCGAATTTATTCGATTTTTTCATTTCTTACCGATCATCATCAAATTGTTTTGAATAAATTCCTGATTCAATAGATGTACTATTCTATATACATATATAATAAACAAAAAAAGAACTTTAATTAAGAGTTTTTTTTCTCATTTTGTTTCAAACCTGGAACATTTCGACGGTTATTGTCGAATATTTATTGGAATGTATTCAATCCCACGAATAGATATTTTAAAAAAGTCGTGGTCTTATACGTACTGTTCTAAAATTGATCATCATTTGTTTGTTTATTTTTTTCTATCCTAAGATAATAACAACAACAACATTTGACAAATACTAGTGTCGACCTCTGGTGAACATCGACATAATGATAATTTTAGATAGATTAATTATAAAAAAAAAAAAACATTTTAAGATAATTGAAATCTTTTAATTAAATTACTTTTAGTTGTATATACTCATTTTATATTATTAACAATAATAAGCAAAAAAAAGAAGATTAGAGATGCCATTATGAAATTCTCTCATCATCTCTTGAGGTCACTTGTCACGCTTGATATCTCAATAGATGAAATATTCTCGATAGAAATAAATAGATATTTTATTAATAATAAATTTTTTTTTAAAAAGACAATAATTTCATGAGAAAAAAATCGGATTAAATATATTTATTTTGTAAAGCGACAATAATTATCATTGGATAATGAATAGTTCAATAAAAAACAGTTAAAAGTAATAATAAATGAATAATAAAATAAAAGACATGACGATGAAAAAAAATCATCAACGCACAACGTCTATTTTTGAAACAGATGGCAATAAAAGTGTTTATTAATGACATGTTAGACAAATATTAGAATATTTTAAGTAGAAAATTTTAAATTTTTTTTGTTTCTATGGAAAATCGGTAGCATTTTTTTTTTTATTAAATATAAGCTCCTAAACGGCATTTCTTTGGAGGAAAAAAACCTAAACTGGAGATTTGTTTGCTTAAACATTTTTTCTTGAGACGTAATAATTTATTTACGAATATCGAACATTGAAAACAGACGATTTTGTAGGGTAAATTTATAAATTTACTATTATTTCTTTGTCTAATCGATACCAATTCAGAGATTAATATTATTGGTTTAGTTGATATAATACCAATAAGATTGAATTTTTTCTTTCCAAGTTTCTGTTTTGAACAGGTGATTTCGAATGATTAGGAGACTGCTTCAATCTTCTGGTAAGAGTCAATGTCCTGTTCCATGTTTTATACAGCACGAACCTAGAGAAATTACAATTAGTATGAAAAAGCAGTACCGCTGTAATCTAGAAGTTACAAAATTGAAATATCATAATGTCTCCCTGTTGGCTTGCGTTTTGTTCTCACAAAGGAAGTCCTCCAACTGATAGATTGCTTTTGAGTCGAGTCTACGTGCAGTATCTATAATTCAATGTACTATGAATACCTTGAAAAGAGTTCATATTCTTTAGTCTATTGTTGTTGAAATGCTACACTTTTAGGGTATTTTTTTTAAATAAATGCCATGGTTAAAAAAAAAAGCTAATTATTGAATTTCAACTTAAAACTCTGTATATAGAGACAGTTCTTAACGAGAATAGTTTTAGGTCGTTTGACTTGCTTCGATCCTGAAATAAGAACATCAAGTCTATTGGTTTATATGAGTAATGTAAAAAAAAAACACGCTATGACCTTGGTTGTATTTTAGGATAGAATACAACGACAAGATCTCGAATATTCACTAAAAATCTATTCGTAAGGCTCGTCTCTATGCAAAATTTTGTATCGAAATTCGAAAATCAGTTTTCTGAATCATGACAATTATTTAAGAAAATACCCTAAAAGTACAGTTTTGTATACGCAATAATATCCTGAACGCATGAACTCTTTTCAAGGTACTCATAAATCATTTAGGCCTACAAGATGCACATAATCTCAACTTAAAAGCGATCTATGAGTTGGAGAAGTTCGAATATAATTAGTTAAAAATCCGATGATTCTATTTCTTTGGATATTCTCGAATAGATAATAGAACCTTGTAAAACAGAAAAATTTTTGTAGTTGAAGACGGTCAATACTTATTAGAATGTTTTCTGATAATGCGAAAATAGTGTAATTCTGTTCTATTTGTAGGTTAAAAGCATGTATGATTCTTTTTCTCTATTCGTTTCTGTCAATAGAAGAAACTAAATTTAGATATTGTTGTATAGCGTCATGTATAAGTTTTCTTATCTTCGATAAAGAATATAAATTATTGTTAATTGAAACATTTCTCTTGTAGCGAGTTGTTTTATAAATTATCAACAATGTTGAATTTTTAATTTCTTAGATAAATTTATTTATCATTACGATATGATGTTATAAAGCATTTGTTTTTTTCTTCTCATAAATCAATCATTTTGAAGTCATAAAACAAGTCATAAATGTTCATTGAAAATTGAATGCCAGTTAATTTTTCATTAGAAATTTTCTTTATAATGTTCTTCAGATTTTTTTTTTGTATGTTTGCTATTTACTTTCAAACCCCTTACAGAGGGTGAAACTTTTTATCGTTCTTCATGCAAACGTGTGTGCAAGGCAACATAACAAAACAATATGTCTTTTTTGTTGCATCCGCTTTTTTTTCTTGTTCGTTCGATGTTCTCATGTAGCCTAGCCCTCTTTCTTCGATTGTTACTCGTCCATCAATCTAATTCGTCCATCTACTTGTTGCCCTCTCTTTGTATTCTCTTTGGTCCAGTAGAATAAACATTAATTGAGAAACAAACAAAAGTTCACAATGGATTAGTATTTATTTAATTTTTTTTTGTTGTGCGTTTATTATTCGTCTATGTTAAGTGTGTATATAGACAAACGCAAAATGTTTGTCGTATTTGTAACGAAAATATCAAATAATACAATTTGGAAGTCTTTTTTTTTTTCTGTCATGTATTAATTGAACCGACGGGAAATTCATGATTTAGCGCCAAGTTTATTCTGCTAATAAAGATACTAAGAACGCGCTTTCTATTGCTATTTTCTTTTTATAGATAAAATAATGGCTTCTATTACGAACAATTTAATGGAATCAGATGATGATTATATTCCACCAGTTAAATTAAAGAAGACTACAAATGAGGTTGGTAAAACTTTTGTTTTTTTGTTAGTTTTATTATTGACTAATAATTGATTTATTAGGATGATCATAATGATTTATATTGTTTTGAATGTCATGATGAAGGTGATGTTATTTGTTGTGATTCATGTCCACGTGTATATCATTCCAAATGTCTTGGATTGACAACATTACCTGATGGTGATTGGACATGTCCTGAATGTAAAGTATGTGTTTTTAAATAATATCATTTTTTCAATATACATCTTTTGTTTTATCTTTAAAGATTATTCAATCATCATCGAACATAAATAATCCACGCATAGATGAGTTTCTTACTATGTTAAAATCTGCACTTCGTCGAATGAAATCTCACCCACAAGTAAGTTTTATTAAACAAGTAATAAAGAAGAAAGAAAAACTTTTCCTTTTTCTAAGTCTACACCATTTATGAAACCTGTTGATTCTAAACAAGTTCCTGAATATCTTGATTATATAATTCATCCAATGGATTTAGAAACAATAGAAAAAAATATTGATTTAAAAAAATATACATCTACAGATGCATTTATTGCTGATATTAAATGGATAACACATAATAGTGTTGTTTTCAATGGAAGCAAGTAGTCTTTGTTTATGTTTGAGAATAATTTTTTTTCATTGATTATTTATACATTAGGTCAAAGTAAATTTACTACAATTGCACGTGCACTTCTAAAAATTGCTCGCCATGAAATGACTGAAATTGAAATTTGTTCAGAATGTTATTTACGTAGTGCACAACCTGTATCAACAGATTGGTTTGCTGAACCATGTCGTATTCCACATACGTTATGTTGGGCTAAAATGAAAGGTTATCAACCATGGCCAGCTAAAGTTTTACGTATTGTTAATGATGAAGTTGATGTTCGTTTCTTTGGTCAACATGATCGGTGAGAAATTAATACAACAAAATTAGTTATGTTTGAGTTAATTTTGATTGTTTTTTATATAGAGCATGGGTATCAATTAATAATTGTTATGTTCTTTCAAAAGAATATCCAGGTGTAGAAAAGAAAAAATCTAATATTAATTTTGAAAAAAGTCTCACAGAATTACAAACTCATATTGATCGATTAAAAACACTTTATGGATGTTTTACATATGCGCCACCGCAAACACCACTTAGTAAAACGAAACCGTTTAAATTCGTTTCAATTATTGATGGTATGATTTGTTTTTTATATTTCTTCTTAAAGTTTCTAATTAGAGAAAAATTACTTTCTTAAAAGAAATCATTTTATGTTTATTAAATACAGTAAAACTTTCCATAGTGGACACCGTCATATAGTTGTATGGTGGATACTTTCGAAAAGTTCCAAGTGTCCACGACAGGTAAATTTTACCATATATATTAACGAATGTTTATTTTCCAACAAGAAAAATGCATGCAAATAGAAGTAACAAATTATTTTATTCACTAATACCGTACAGATACTTAGAAAATGCATATGTTCCTTGTAAAAAAAAAAAAAACTTTGCTTCTAGAAAAGGTCTAGACTCTTTTTAGTGGACACTTGAAAAGTTCGAAGGATTTCTACTACAGAGACGTTATACTATATGCTGTTCGTATTAAACAACAATAGGTTCTCATGTTTAGAAGATAAACTAAGTAGATAATGATAGATATTTCGAAATGAATAGATTGTTACTAACAAAGATTTAACAATGGTAAGCAACAATATCAATACTACTGGTAGAAGATATCGGATTGGTCTCAGATTTGGTTCGGCTCTGGTCGTGTAAGATGTGATACTCACTGAATGCAAAATAGCCAGGAAAAAGTGTCTTATACCTTAGAGGCGACTATCCAGATTCCATTAGCAAGTTTCATTGAAAACATGAAAGTACGATCCGACAGAGTCCAAAAATTTTCAATAAATCGACTCTTAGTTCGAAAATTTTGGACCCGACGGGCTCTAACTACCGGTTAATTTAAACCAAATGAAATAATAGCTAAACGTTAAAATAAACAAAAAAGTAATAATTCTTATCAGCAATACTTTGATAGTCAATGAAGGAAATCAATATGAAACTTGATAATGTTGATAAATATGAGTCATAGAAAAAGTTTTTTCTTCAATTTTATTTAACATATATTTTAATAGATTCTATTCCACCTACTTATGTTGCAACGATGACTAATAATAATGCACTTCGTTCTTCTATCAAGTGTGTAAAACAACCACGTTCTCCTATTCCATCACAAACAACCGAATCAATTATAAATTTACAAACGGCTACTAAGCGGCCAAATGAAAACTCTTATGACCAACAGCAACAGCAAGAGTCAGTTAAACGAGCACGACTTTCATCTCGACCTACAGATGATAATAGTATAAATTCTAATCGAATTGTACTTCGAATTCGAAAGCCAAGTGAAGATTTATCAAGCAGTCGAAGTGAAACATCAAACAGTAGTATTAGCGGTCATCAATTAACTGTTCAAATAAAAGAGCCATTATCAACATTAAGAGAAGATGATGAAGATCAAAATCAATCTCAATCAGAAAATGTATTTGATATTTTTAATCAAACNTAAAATAAACAAAAAAGTAATAATTCTTATCAGCAATACTTTGATAGTCAATGAAGGAAATCACTATGAAACTTGATAATGTTGATAAATATGAGTCATAGGAAAAGTTTTTTCTTCAATTTTATTTAACATATATTTTAATAGATTCTATTCCACCTACTTATGTTGCAACGATGACTAATAATAATGCACTTCGTCCTTCTATCAAGTGTGTAAAACAACCACGTTCTCCTATTCCATCACAAACAACCGAATCAATTATAAATTTACAAACGGCTACTAAGCGACCAAATGAAAACTCTTATGACCAACAGCAACAGCAAGAGTCAGTTAAACGAGCACGACTTTCATCTCGACCTACGGATGATAATAGTATAAATTCTAATCGAATTGTACTTCGAATTCGAAAGCCAAGTGAAGATTTATCAAGCAGTCGAAGTGAAACATCAAATAGTAGTATTAGCGGTCATCAATTAACTGTTCAAATAAAAGAGCCATTATCAACATTAAGAGAAGATGATGAAGATCAAAATCAATCTCAATCAGAAAATGTATTTGATATTTTTAATCAAACATTAGTTCAATCAAAAGATGATGATGAGTAAGAAATACAAACATAACCTCTTTTATTATTTCAAATGAGACTTTTTTTCTTTCAGAGTGCCATTTAGATCACCTGAAAATCAATCATCGTCTCCTTCTCCATCGGAAAGTAATATACCAAATCCTCCCTTGATTAGTAACTATGTTGATCAAAATTTAATAACTGTTGATTCCAATATCGAAGATGTCAGATTATCAATAAATGCTTTACTCGATACTGTTGATGCACTTAAATCCATATCTGAAGTTCATAATAATCAATCCTTACTAATGATGACATCATCCACAAATGAGTCTAGACCAGTACAACCTCAATATGCTGAACGACGTACAGCAACAAAACAATCACGAAAATCTCGTTTACAACATCGTATAGTAGCAACTCAACCAAAACCACTTACAACTAATAATACTACTCTTCCATCTTTGGAACATCATTTAAATGACCAATCACTTTCTCCAACATCAACAATACCACCTTTAAGACCATTATCAATAAGTCCTGCGAGGTTCATTTAAATTTTTATCTGTTTTTTAGTTTTGATTCTCTAAATCTTGTTTTCTTTTTTTGTTTTCGTTGTAGTATTGATTTTTTTGAAGATATTGCAACTGTAACAAACGATGATTTATTAACACAATATCAACAATTAGAAAGAACAAAATCAATTGAAACACTTAGCTTTAAATCTGAACCGATGGATAATGAAGAAAATCAAAAACGTCGAATAGTTCAATCAATACCAGCAGTTCATTCATCTACACCAAGTTCATCATCAGTTTCTACAAAACCTTTTCTTATATCACCACCAGCAAATACACAACATCATAAAACAAAAACTTCTGTTCCTCCTACAACAACAATATCAAACTCTCAATTGCCAGCAATGATAACTAATAGTAATAATTCATTGGCACCACGAATATCATCAACAGTACCACAAAAAAATAATTGGTCTACAGCTGCACCTATGACTTCTTCTACACGACAACCACAAAGTGCAACACATAAACGACCTGGACTAGCGATATATCCACCGACAGCTCAACGTAATAGTAATAATAATCCACCGACAATGAGAATAAATTCTTCAGCACCACTACAACCTCAGTCATTTGATACATTTCCTATTAATGCAGCAATACAACGAAGACCAAATGGTATGACTCATTCAACACTTACCTCAAATACACCACCAATACCGAATCGCAATCCCATACGAGTAAGTTGTTTTTTATTGTTCATTCGAGACTAAAGCTCTTGTTTATCTTCCGACTGATTTTGATGTCAAAATTAGAGATGGGCAGGTGTAAACTCAATAACTCGATAACTAAAATATTTCGCAGTCTGATGTTTTCACTATGTGGAAGACGAGAATTCTGAACGTCTTTTTATCTGATACTATATAAGGCAAAATTATTCTAAAACCTATCATCTTCGCAATTGTATACATTTTGACCGAAAAGATTTCACCATTGAAATGTAAGAAGACAATCGTCTGAAGCGCATGTCAAAATTAATGTCTTAATTGCTAAAAATCGAAGATCATTAGCTATTTTCCTTGTCGAGTTATTCAGCTTACACCTACCTCTCCTTTCATTTTGGTGCGCGCATAACTTTCATAAATGGGATAGCCACTTAAATATTCGATATCAATTTTTTCTTCGTTTCTGACTCGTTTACTGCCCTGCATTCTGCTGGATAAAGGATCATCCTGTGTTCGGCCTGCAGAACGATCTTTTCATTGCATTTTTGACAAGGACATTACAATTGTTTGTACATGAGGTGCGCGTCAAAGATCATAGATCTTCCATTAATACAAAAATCTTTTACAATAATTATGTTAATAAACGATATCACTTGTTTTCTAGTAGAAATGAAATGAAACGCAAAAAAAGATACTTGACATTCATAAGATGAGCAAAACCAACATAAATATACAGGATTCAATATGTAATTAATATAAACAGAGGGACAACAAGAAAGGATAAGTTTTCTTTTTAATTTCTCATAAGAACAAATAAATTATTGTTCTTAAAATGACTTGGAGATAAACATGTTTGCTTTTGAGTAAATATCAATCCAGCTGAGATAAATAGTCTTTCTATTGAGAGCACTAATCGCTAGCATAGCATATACTCTTCCGGCTACTACTATCGATGATAGTGAAATATCACGATGAGTTCCACTACTACACCAGAACTTCCTTGAATCACGATTAATTACATGACTTGAAAAAAGTTAAAATATTTTGAAACATTGAGATATCATTAACTGTCGGGTCGAGCCGGGTGTTGGGTACTCGATCCGGTTGTGAAGCCCTAGTTCTCTGTTAATGAACTAAAACTATTTCTTGATACTCATAGAACATCTGAGAATGTTGTTTGTTTTTCCTTGTTATTTAGATGCCTCTATTTAATAATCAACCAATTCGACCTTCAATTGAAGAGTAAGTATAATATTTCAATGAAACTTTTATCTTATCTTTTATCTTCTAGTCATCAAACACCAGGTGAAATACAAATAATTATCAAAAATTTTAATGATAAAGTGAATAGATATTTATATTACTTTTTGAAAAAAAAAAATTTTTTTAATTTTGATTTTTGTTTAGTTTCAACAATTATTAACTGATTTTACTGTTAAAATTGAAACAGCACTTGAATCGAATCGAGTCAAGTATGAAAAAGAATTAGAAGAAACACGTCGTACATATCGTATGTCAATGAATGAATTACGTACAATTACAAGTAAGAAGATAAAAGAAAAAAAGTTAAGCAAAAATACTTTTTTTCTTGTTATTTAGCTCAACAAGTTCAAGAAATGCACAATAGTTTAGAATTACAATATTGGACACGTCTTTCTGAGATGCGTAATCGTTATGAATCATCACTTCAACAGCAACTTTCAAAATCTTCAAAACAACTTAATGGTGGACCTCGTTAGTCAATATTACTTGGAGAAAGAAAAGAAAATATCCAAATGTATATTCGTTTTTTTTTTATACAGTATTGTTCTTCCGTTATCTTCTCACTATTTTTCTTGTCTGATCTCAAATGAATAAATAAATAAATATATATATATTTGACACTTGATGTGTGTATTGATAAAGAGAAAAAAAGTGCATTTATTTATTTTACGACAAACATATTGAAGTATTAGTGAATAATTATTGTAATATAAAAGGTTTTCTCAGGTGCAAAAGTGAAAATGACAGGATAGAAAAAAAAAGAACGAAAATGTCTATTTTGATATTTAATCAAGGCCAAGATTTAATGGATGTTTGGGTGTTTCATTGAGAAAGAATTTTTTCATAAATTCTGAGAAGAGATTGTCTAAAAACAACAAAGTTTAATGTTATGATGTGTTGTTCTTTTCAATTGAAATTTACTTACAATCCATTTTCTTTTTGCCATGATCAGTAACAAAGTCATAAGCTTTTGAAGCATTTTCTTCGTCAATATCCCATGAAAGAAGCATATTAGCGAATTCCGATCTTGATACAGCTCGTTCGTCTATAAATAAAAAACGAAGAAAATTATGAAAATGATAAATAACAGAATGTTAAAATTATTACCTAAAAATTCATTGGCACGAAATAAAGCCTTATGTAATCCTTCATACCATTCAGGAAATTCATTTTTGTCCTTTAAACCACCAATAATATCATTCATGACATCAAGCCATTCGTCTTTGAAATACAATAAAGGCATAGACTGAAATCTAAAGACAAGAAATTTATGTACCTAAATCGATATTTCCATCATTGTTAGCATCACCGATAGCACATAAATCCCAAAAATATTTTTGAAAATGTTGTTCGGTACGTTTACGTAAGATTTTCAATCGTGCATTTTTTGCGGCATCTACGGCCGGAACAATGGACTATTTGTGAGAAACAAAAAGAATAATATAGTAGCTTAGCATTCGATCAATATAACAAACCTCAATAGCAGCCTCGAAGTCAGTCCAGTTAACAAGACCATCATTGTTTGTATCTGATAATAGAAGACAAAAGAAAAAAAAACATGGATTATCCTAAGTGTAATAAATTCTAGTTGTTCTTCTTACCGAGAGTTTTGGTGAAGAATTGTTGAAGTTTTCTCAATGATGTTTTCGGAATATTGTCACGAGGCATTGTTAGAATTGACTTGCTTGCTTACTTATACAGACAAAGAGAAAGTAGATAGGAATGAAAGGAATCTAAAATCAATAGATAAATAGAACAATATATATACATATATATACATATGTATATGTATATATCTGTATATGAGAATATTCATTCCTAATGCGACGTGTTCGTCATACACACAATAGAAAGACAAGAGGATAATCCTTGTCTGGATACTTTTGCACACCGTCCAGAATATTCTGGAAGAATTATTAGGGCTTTCCCATCCGTTCTGCTCTCGACTCCTTAGAACAACAGGAAATATTGCTTATACACAAAGATTGTTAATCATTTTAGTGTCATTAGAGAAAGAGAGAGCATACAATACACAACAGTCGAATATTATTCATGTATGTTTTTTCTCTCTCTCCCTCCCTTCCCCTCTCTCTCTCTCTCTCTCTCTCTCTCTTTGTCTCTCTCTGTCTCTCTCTTTGTCTCCTTCGCACATACACACATATATTCCTTCTATGTACAGATCTTCTTAGCTGAATCATTCATGACTTCTATGAATCGATCAGTCAATGATTAATTTCAATTCTTGAATATACGATAAAAGATCACTATACTTTAACAGTCTTTATTTATTATTGTCATACAGACCATAAAGTCGTACGTCATAGACAACTACATTTTTCTTAGCAAGAAAGAAAGAAAGAAATATGTCGGTTTTCTCGCTTGGTGAATATGTCTTTTCTTATACGCGACGCGTTGGTACACAAACACATAAAGTATGAGTGGTCCCTCTGTTTTCTAGTATTGCCGCAAGAACGGACAAGCAAGAGGTTATACAGGAATTGTTTTACAATCAAGATACTATATTGCCGCTTACGAGTGATATTTTTCTCTCTAAATGCGATAGCACAAGCCATTCATGAGCGAAATAGGCTACAATTGTTACAGCTATGGTAATTTGTTTCTTTCTTGCTTTGGATCGTTTGCATACACATAAGGGTTAGCCAGCTGTTATTATTACTGACTGGAAAAAAAAGTTGTTTGTCTAGCTCATGAAAAGAAAGAGTTATTAAAAGAACAAGATAAAGACGGATGACGATTGAAGAAAAAGCATATTTCCATGTAACGTACTTATTAAAAGACATTATCAACGCGAATTGAGATAGAAAAAAAATTCAAGGATGATAAATCATATACGAATTGAAACGATGTTGAGCAATGATTAGTAGGATATAAAAAAAGAATACATAAATCATATCTACAGTAACGATGACAAATAGTTCTTTCAAAAGATTGATTAGTCATATAGATTACCCAAATAACTTCGTAGAATATCTTATTGTAGATCGTAATGTCTAATATAGTTCATATACTCGTTTTATTGCGAATTATACATTTATTATATAAATTAATGAGAAAAAAAAATATACGGAAGAATATTATATGAACGAAATGCTTTGTCATTGTGTTTTTTTTTGTCACAAGCTGGTTACTGATTTTTATCAAACATCAAATCATCAAGATATATTTGCAAGTTTCTTTCAGGAAATGGAATCAACTTTATATTACAATCTATTATTGTACTTTAAATGAAAGAAGAAATCGAAAAATATGTCAATTACCTGACAACACTGATATAGATAAAGTATGATATGAGATTAGGCTAAAAATAGAGAGAATAATAAAGTTCTATTGGACAACAGACAAGGCATGAAATGGATATCAACTATTGCAAACCATTTTAAATTTCAAATACAAAATAGGCTGAAATCAAATGTCTTGAATAGATCGTTATATTGTAACAATGGTTTCATATAGTTTCTAATAATATTGAAATAATCGGATTTTTTGTTGTTTTATCAGTTATTAAACTTATCATCAAGGAGGTTGTATAATACAGTTGTACGTTTATAATACAAATCTATGATAAATATAAGCCAAAATACCGATGAAATACTATTATAATAGAACAGAAATTGAGTACGTTAATAGAATCAAGAAATACGAAAATTTCGACGGAATGTTCCTTAAGTTTCATTTATGCTATAATATTCTCGTTTATACAGTAGCAAATCATGACAATATCCTTGATGATAGCAATTCAGTAGTGACCTTTGAATTTGAGATAATAATACAATTCAATAACTTATTATCTCTATTGATTTCCTTTATATATCGATTTTCAAGAAATAAAAAACAAAAGTACTTCTACTGTGCCTGAATGACTATTAGTTATTTAATAAAAACTGTAAAAAGCTTCTTTTTTTTGTTTTTTACATATTGAAATGATAATGAAAATTGCAAGAACCGAGCAATAGAAACATCGTTTCTAGAAGTAATTAGCGGTGGGCAATGTGACCTATTTTGTAGCATTTAATGTCTATCATGCTGAGAGAGATATTCTTTAGTCATACATACAATAATAATACAAAAAGTATACTGTATCCGTATCAAGATATATTAATGTATCAAAAAGCCATTGGTTTATTTTGTCAATATTCATTTATAAAAACATTTTACATGTGCGATACACTAAGTTATAAGTTAAAATATTGCATAGCTGCTAATATAATTCTGATCGATCGAATTCAAACGAAATAAAAACAAATTCTATTAATCAATTTAAGATTTTCTTATTCTGACATTCTCATTTAAAAAGTCAGGTTTATTTTCAAATAGTTATCCATGACAAAACATTGTCATAGTAACATATTTATAAACTAACAATGTCCCATGTGAATTCTTAATCATCGTTGTTTTTATATATTCAAACTAATCTCGAGACATTTGTACATAAGCATAAGTGTCAGTTATCAGTCGGAAGAATCTGATCGAATCCTGCGGGATTCAGTGAATGGATAATTTTTAACGTAGCTGCGAATGATGATATATGTAATGGATCCAACAACCAGATTTACTTGAACCTAGTCTATTGCGCGAAATTAATGACTCCTTATTAAGTTTGACGAAAAGTCCTCAGTTCAAAGATTCAGAATCTACAAGAAGTTTCTCAAAAGTTTCAAATTGACTTTAGCGCTGAATGAACATTATTACAATAAAGAATACAGTTCAAAATACCTTACAATGAAGGTGTTTGTGTTGTAAATTAAAAACACTAGACATATTCGAGTCAAAAGAAAGTTCTCATCGCCAAACTAACAAATTTTAAATATTAGCGGCTGCTGACGTGTACAGACCGAGATATTCAAGTTTCAAGGTTTTTACAGTCTATGTACGATATCCACAATCTAATATTTGAGCAGAGCTTTTTCTTCTTTCTTCTTGATCGTTGAATAGAATATGTGTTTCATATTTTAAAAAAGAGATTTAACAAAAAGCTTACGAAAGTCAGAATTTTGGCTCTCATTCTCGTTGTATTTAAGAAATAATGTAACGTAGATTTTTGTCTGATAAGATTCTTTTAAATCTCTTTTTTAAAGTATGAAACATATTTTCTAATACAACTCAACGAGCTATATCCATATCCAACGATCAAGAAGAAAGGAGAAAAAACTCTACTAAAATATTGGATTGTGGGTATCGTACATAGACTGTAAAAACCTTGAAACTTGAATATCTCGGTCTGTACACGTCAGCAGCCGCTAATATTTAAAATTTGTTAGTTTGGCGATGAGAACTTTCTTTTGACTCGAATATGTCTAGTGTTTTTAATTTACAACAC